CGCCGCGGGGAGAACTACAGGCGGATGAAAAGCACGATACCTCGAATGCAAAACTCTACCTTGTGCTACGCTGCGCTGTTGCTATGAGCAAACTCGCGTACACGGTTCCGGTAGGTGAATCCGCGGCCGTCCTTCCATCTCAATCAGTTGCCCTGCGATTTTGCCAGGGCCCCTCCCTCGTGCCAACTCGCTCCTCAAACGCTCAAAATGAGTCATCCTTCATGGTTCGAGTTGTGTGATTGCTCTGACCTTCCACACGACACTCCCACACAGATCATAGCCTCTGGTCGATTCTCCAAATTCTGACACTGGTTTCGAGCCATCTACACCGCAAGCCCGATTGATCTGCAAGTTATCGGTGTCACCGGTGTTGCTCCAAGCCATGCTTAAGCCCGTTACAAGAGACTGCCGCATGCTTTCACAGCAAAGCAGGAAACGGCTCCTAAGTTGAGCCGGCTCACGAGCAAGTCCGGATCGGCCACAGGCAGAACCTCAGCAAGCCGGACTTGAGCTCGTGTCCATACGCAAGATGATACCACCACCTAGGAAGAACTGCTGCATGGCATGAGGCCAGCACCAGGGTAGATTTCTCAAGCGCTCGCTTGAGAACCCATTCTGCTTGGTTGAGATTCCCCTCGCCCGAAAGCTTCGACGACTTCCTCAGCCACGCGCACAACAACCAAGAGCGAGCTTGGGAGATGATGGAGTGAAGCCGCATGGCTGCTACCGGGAGACTCGTTGGCCTTGATGAGCCTTTGACGTGCGATGCTGTCCGCGGCATCCGGGAAACTCCTTGAGCGAGATGCTCCCAAGTTGTCTCGATCGTCTTCCCCCAATCAGACGAGTTTCGACATGGTCTCTTCGATCAGCTGCTCGGGGGATGGAGCGTTCGCACCTCGCACGAATCATGCTAGCGTGCGGGTCACTCTGGAATTGATCTGTGGTTGCATGCTGCCACAAAACAGCTAGTTGCTCCTAGCTGCTGGCGAGGATTAGGATCTTGTGCAGCTGCAGCGCCGCAGCCTTCACTTTGGCCTGTCGGCCACGACGTGGGTCGCAGCTCTGGTACAACAGTCGAGAGGGAAGTTCACCCAGCGAATCTGAGAGACATGGCATCAGGCAAGCTTCGTGTGACGAATGGATGAAGTTACCGCCTGACAACCCCCGCCTCCTCGCGCCATCTTCGACGACCACGGATGACTTGCCGCAGCACGCCTCTTTGCAGATGAAATGCGCTCTATGTTGGCCATGCCTCGTGGGCGGAAGCAGGCCTGCAGCCTCCTGGTGAAGACCTTCCTGTCGCAGCAGAGCCGCGAGACGCTCTTGCCAGTCAAGCATCACCTCAAGCACAACACGAGAACCGCTGAGAGTTGGGAGGCATCTTTAACGCCGAGGTGCAGGGTTATGAGCTCCGAGAGATTTCTGTCCAGCAGTCACTGCATCTTGCAGGAGCGGTCGAGCTTCAGCTGCTCGATCCTGATCTGCCAAGAACTTCCTTTGTTGGGATGCAGAACTCAATACGTCACAGCTGACACTTCATGACCACTCTTTTCACACACTTGCTTCCACGCATCGCCAGCACTACCTTGCCGAAGAGCGTGTCCTAGGCTTCAACAGGAACATCCCTCAGAGGAAATCGTCCGCACGCCGAGGCACTGAATTGGCTGGCAAGTTGCAATCTTGTGTTCACCGAGCTCCGCATGAAGTCCATCCACCGCCCAGCGTAGAAGGTCTTCTGCCTCTTGTATGCGTCCTTGCTCTCTAAGTCGCTTGGCCAAAAGAAAAGCATACCTGCTCAGTTTGGTATGCACCGGCAAAGTTTACGAAAGTTGCTGTAAATCTCGGCAGAAACTTGCAGGACGAGCCTGGAAGTCCCAGCTTCTCGGAAGTCTTTGCTTGCCGCAAGGAACAAACTGTTTTCGTAGGCATGCCGCACCAACTCGGCTCAGAAGTGGTCACAACAACCATGCAATTGCACTGCTCCGCATCTCGGTACTCTCAGTCTAGCGTCGCTCGAGTTCCAGGCCATGCCTGGCATGGTCTGCTCGCAGCGCGCTCTGAGCACAGCAGAGAAGGTGTGGTTCTGGATCGAGGCAGGAAGCTCGGCCAGCTGCAGCACCTCGGCCGCTCGGGCGCTCAGAAGAGCCGCGATTCAAGTGTGAGATTCAATTGTACGTGCTTGGAGCGCGGTTTAGTCGCGGCCAGTGCTCCCATCACACTGCCATACTTACAACTCGGGCTGAGGCTGACCCCACAGTGCAAGTGTAAGTCAGCCAAGCTACCGGCTGTGGCTCAGCCATTGGTGACAGCAGAGATGCAGCATTCGTTGCCTGTGGTGGCAGCTGGATGAAGCGCCGCCGCTTCTCCTGGAGGAAGCACTAGATAGCTGAGCCGCTCTGGTTGAAAATGGCTGTGCCACCAGAGCAACAGAACAGTACGATGGCCTCCAAATCGCCGGAGAGAAAAACCTCTCTCAGGGCTTCATCATCAGGTATTCCCTGATCCAAGCTCTCGTTCCCCACTCTCTCCATCAAAGATCTCATCCAGTCACTGCCTCATTTGCAAACTCTCAAGATGAGCTGCATGGACACCACCTTTGATGCGCTGATAACCCCGACACCGACCAGGCCCAGCACATCGCAGAAAGATTATACCAAAGCTGGCTGCGGCTGCAGAACTTGAAAGCTGCCTGTCCTCGGCGAACAACCAATGCACGTGTTGGGGCCAGCAGCTTTCGGCAGCTGCCGGGGATCTGACAGAAGAGTTCTGGGCGGTGGTGAGAATGATCTCGGCATCACTGCCGGTAAACTTCCCTGCGACCTTACATGCCGCTGTGCTGCGTGCCTGCACTCTCGAAACCTGCATGTGCCGCTGCCTGATCTGCCTGTGAACACCAACGTGCACTTGGAGCACGTAACAACACATAACTCGGGGGTCGGCCTCCGCGACAAAATCAAGGCTGGCGTCTTGCCCCACCAAGATAGTGTCACTGTCCTTTCCAGCCGTCTTCATAGGGCCACACTCCGGAAAAGAAGCTATTGTGCCTAGCCACGAGCCACAGCATCCACTTGATGCCTTCCCGCTGGCAGGTCTCCAGCCAGTGAGGGATCACCTGCAAGCCGATCATTCTGATTCCTCTTGTCGGTCGACAACAGCCAGATGTAAAGTACTTAAGTACTCAAGTACTTAAAAAAGGGCAGTCACCGATTCGAGGGAGCGACAAACGCGGCTCCCTGCTGTCCGACTTTGAGCAGTAAGCTGTAAAGGATGCAGGCAGAGTGGGTTTACCGGCGCCCTGTGCCACCACCATCTACGTCGCAAGGCTTGGGCAACACAGCGCCAGATAGCGCCAGAAAGTCAGGCGTTCCACGACAGCTGTTCTAAGAGCGATCGGGCAAGCACACCTGGAAGAAAGTGTAGCATTGTAGCAGTGTGGCATGGCGCTTGTGTAGCTTCACTCCCAGTCCCATATCAAAACTCCAGTGCCGCAGCTCGTGAGGCGCAATCCTATCTGCTGCCACTGCCAACGCAAGTCCGAGGACCCGATGCCTGGGACTTCGTTGACGCTGGCTCCACGTTGCGCTGGTCCAGGACGAACGGGTATCCTGAAGGGGCTGAGGCGATTTGTCACAACCGTCGCAACCGACACCGTCTGCAGTCCTTGTTCAGCACACCACATCGCATTGAGAGCGCCCGTCAAAGCTCCGTTTCGAAGCTTCTTGGGCGCATGGGACACGACCAAGGCCAGCCTCAGATCCCAGACCGGACATAGCCAGCAGTCGAGCAAAATATGACCCATCTGCGCACGAGCAACGGTGGATCTCCTGCTTTTAAAAGAGGGGACGTCTTGTTGGCACCTCAGGCTGGGCGCGCTTCGCACGCTTCTCCGTTCTCAACTACAGCTTGGCTGTAAGTGCTTGGCACAGTCTTAATGCTGCGTCGCTTTGAAGACGGCAGCAAGATTCATTCGGACCTGGAGCTACATCTCCATTGTCAGCAGCCTGGCAAGTAAGAACTGTTTTTAGGCCGATTTGCCAGTGCTTGCAACGGCGAGAGGCCTCCAAATTCTCAGGCATATCGTCGTAGGAGCCGACATCCTTGCATGAGTTTCATGCTTGGTCAACCTACGAGGTCCTAGTTGGCCAGGAGATACTACATTACTACATATTTTGTTCAAGCAGCGGGATAGAATGCATCCTCAAAGTCATCTCCTTCTGCTACCGGCTGCGCAAAGCTGGCGCGGGAGAAATCAAAGTTCTCAACCTGGTCAGCTCGCTTTGCGAGTCTTGTTGTCGTGTCCTTTTTGCTTGGCTTGCGTTCGAAGCGGCCACATTCTGCCGGCCAGCATCACAGTCAGCAGGGCCCTCCTGCAGCTGCCAGACTGCTGCCTTTCCAGTTTGATTTCTATGCCTGGCATACCTGGCACCTGTGCTCCATGATCCTGCTGTCAGAACAGACACCCCTTGGGCATGAGTGGCACATAGCTGACGATCTCGTGAGACTGAGCGTCCTGGGTCTTGGACCGCTGGGCCGCGACCAGCGAAAGAGCAGGAAGCCACCATGGCCAGAGCCACATTTGGATGCCACATTTGGATGCGACTCACATGCGTGTGTCTTTGGGATTGTGCGCGATGTTATACCGACCACGAGTGAGTGTGGTAGGGATCCTCCTCTTGTCGCCCTGTTTTGGATGTTGATGCCTAGACTCCAGGTGCGCCTCTGCTTGATCTCTAAGCTCGCAAATGCAGCAAGTCAAGGACCATGCCAGAAGAACAAACCCAGCAAAAAGGTTCTTCTGCAACTCACCCATTCCCCCTCAACCCCCCCGCGAACACGGCCTCTAGCTCAGGCGCTGCAGGTGCTTCACTCGCGTCGATCATGGCGCAGAACTAGTTGCTCGAGGCGAATTTCTAGACTATCTAGTGCTGGCGAAAATGCTGCCAGATTCAAAGACGAGCTTTCAGCGACACGCTCTCCTTGAACATGCTGAGTGCGAGCACCAATCTGGTGACGAACTGCATGGCTTGTTCCTGCAAACGCAGCCACGGCCCAGCGGGGCCCAGCAGGCGGTGCAACTATGCTAGGAGCTAGCCGAAGAGAAGATTGGATGTCTCACTAGTGACTAGTGCTGGGAGTATGGCCAGCAGTCTGGAAACGAAGCTTCGATCCGATGGCAGCTGCCTGGCAAGACGAAGCAAAGCTACAAAGAGCACTTCGGACTTGCAGAAGTGTATGGAACGCAACAAGGCAGCTAGGCGGAACATCAGCCTTGCAAGGTGGTGAAGATAGAGTTGCTGTCTCGCGGTGGTTGCGGCTGGGGCTGTGGCGACTGCCGGAGGCTCCATCAGCTTTGGCATCGCAAGCGACGTTCTTTCCCGTTGAGGCGGCGAGAAGGATGGCACCTTGACGGAAGTGCCCCGTGCTCCAGCGGAATGTCCAAAACCCTAGGACCACTAGCATGGGGAGCTCCCTGGATTCTTCAACTGTGTCTGCGAAGATGTTGGGGCACAAACCATCGTCGCGCACGAATACCCAGAATGAATAAAGTCCATGACCTCGGCAACTACTGATCTCTTCGATCTCTGAGTCATCAAACTTGTCTGTCTGCCTTTGTGCACTCTTCATGCTCGTCCCAAGGCTCTTGCCATTTGACAACCCTGCATCTCCTTGACCGAAGCATTCAACAGAATTCTATGAACACAACCAGGCGACTTTGCCAAGGCAGATACTGGAGCTTCACTTCTAGAGTCGCGAGTCTTGTTCGCTCTGCCGAAACATTCATTCCATTTCCTCATGCTGATCCATCGAAACACCTCAGCAGGGTTGCTAGAGCTTGCGACGAATGCAGCATGCTTCGAATTTATCTACCGACGCCGCGCATTCGCGCACTGGAAGGTGAATTCAAACGGAGGGATTCGAGCACTGAGGTGGCGGGAGATTCATGCACCCGCCGATTCGCGCGGGATATGCGTACGCCGGAACTAAACTACAAGCTCAAAACCCTAAACCCTAAAAACCCTGAACCCTCAAGTGGCAAAGCCTGGGGCATATAGACCCACAAAACACGGAACCCTAAACCGTAACAGCCATAAACCGCCGAAAACCCTGAGCAATGTGTATAAGCCCACTCGGACAACACAACATGTGTTCCCACACAGCCAAGAAACACACAGGCCTTCATCCTTGATTGCTATCAGCACTGTACAGCTACCGTTGAAAGCTTTGGAGCTTGAACCACCAAAACTCTAAAACGCAAAACTGTAAACCCTAAACACTGACAAGCCGAGAACTGAAAGCCAGAAAATAATACCAACCGTCCGGAACTGCATGCGCATGAGCTGTGGAATTTCCAGCTGTACCGGCAGGCTGCCGCGCTGAATGTTTTCTATGAGAGGCCCGAGAAAGGGCAGGAGGCCTTGCGTCAAGCCGCAAGAAAGGCCTCCATCTGAACCGGGATTGTGCTGGCATCACGCATCTTTGAAGCGCGCCGCTGCGCTTGAAACGCTTGAAGCGCGATGTTCGGCTTGAAAGGCGCCATTCGACAGCGAACGGAAGCTCGGGGCCTGTCCTGGTCGGGCCGCAGCAAGCCCAGGCTTTGGCGGATCCTCAGAAACTCTCAGATCAGTGAGATTAGACGGCATGATGATGATCACATCTTGGCTCCAGGGCTCATCCAGCTCTCTGAAGCGCAAGCCGAGAAACAGAGTAAGCCTCATGCTCTTTGGCAGGTAAACAATCACGAAGAACACCCGCCGTGCTAAGCCCACAGCAATGGCAATTGCCTGATCTTGGCTTTAAGGACATGGGTCACTCTTCTTCGACAACTGTCGACGACCACCGACCAAACCATGGCTCGCGGCTTCGCGTCCCAACCATTCAGTGCGCAGAGTGCCGCAGCCTGCCCAGACAAGCCCAGCAAAGCACTTTGATTGATCTGGCAAGGTTCTGGAACAGCCCGTTCGAGACAGCGCAATTCAGAACATGTGCAGTCCTTCGTGCGGTTCTCGAATATCAACAAGTTGGTGACAACACGGACAGGCGACTGGCTAAGCAGCAGCACCTCGACATGGCACATGTGTTTTCACAGCTCAGGAGCTCAAGGCATCCGCACCGCGAACTCAGTTTGCGGCATGCAACGAGCGACCTTGCGACAATAGATACCAAATGTGGTTCCTGATCGTCAGGGCGGCCAGAGATGCGGTCCGGGAACAAGAACTGCGCTGCTCGGCGTCGAGCTGTGTCAGAAGTGATCTCCACGCATCTCGACTGCTGAATGCCACCACCTGCCAGCGCTGAAGATGAGAAGACCGGACAGGCGAGTGCTGTGCGTAAAGCGTAGTTCGGAGAAGACAACATCTATCGAGTCTCATGACTGCCGAGAGAAACATCTCACATCTCGCAAGAGCACTGGTTGAGCCTCACAGTTTATTGTCACAACGGAAAATACACCAAGAGACTGCACATGCTTGAGATCTTGTGAGCATCCGAAAAGTTGAGTCGCACAGGTGGGCAGATAGCTCTCCGGACGACGGATGTCGTGAGGACCGTAACAAAGTCGGCTTCTTATCCTACACAGCTCCCTGAAAGATTCTCGTGCACATGCGGTTCATTCCGAGGTTAACATACATGCGGCAATGCAAGAGATGAGGGTGGCCGCAGGGGGCAGCGGCAACCGGACTTAAAGATAACAGGAAGCAGTCGCCCCTTGACATGTGTCATAATACCCCGACCTGTGACTACAGCAAGAGGCTCTCCCCAACGAGCATCTAGAACCTACGGCAGGCAAGCAGCAGGTATTTGTTCACAGGCTCTGTTCGACGAAGATTTGAGAACCCTCTTAACACCTCAGAAACAGACCTGTGGGAACGCAAAGCCAGAAGATCGATCTCCCAGTCGCATGCAAGCAAACTTTTCTCGACTCTCTGTTAGTGAAGGCCTCGTCCATCACCACTGGTGAACTGCCGTCCTGGCTCTGTCCACATCACCGACGTCGCGCTGTCGCGGCCCTTACATGTCCCCTAAATTCGACGACTGCCGCCTCTTCCGCAGCAGCTGCTGCTGCGACGGAATCTGACCTTATCGAACCGTCGCAACGGATGCCGAGTCGAGTCAGTCTGCTCGTGAAAACAGACGCCAGAGGCGAGCGCAGCGCACCGGATAGGTCGTCCTCGGAGCCTCCTCCGATCCAGCTCCGGCCTTTCACAGCGCGTCCGAGTACTGGGGCCGTTCATTGGCTCAAGCTCGAGCCTTCACAGCCTGAACGAGGAATGACCTGATGGCCCGTGGCGAGACGTTAAGAGAACTTGCGCGAAGGTTCTCAACAGGGCTCCTGGCGACCAGTCTCCAGGGACCTTTGTCCGGTGGCCTGAGTTCTGCAGTTAAGCACGCCTGGTGCCCTGCCCAATAGCACGATGAAGACCAGTCTGCTGCACCGGAGTGGCGGACGACGCAATCGAGCAATCGACATGGAAGTAGTGAACAGCATGACCAGCATGAAGTATTGGACTGAATCACTGAGCAAACTGCAGGAACTGAACGAGACTCGTCAAAAAATGACATATGCAATCTTATTTTGTACTAAGACATGCGGATCTCGACAGCTGCTGCCACAAGATTAACACCTATCACACCACGACCTTCACCTTCACCCCAGGTTCAGATCGCTCAAACCATCATGCCGATGTCGTGTCGTCCTGTGACTCAGAGTGGGTCTGAACAACAACATCTGACACTGACAGCCGATCAAAGCTTCACACAAGATTGTCCTCTACTTATTACATCGGGATTGCTGGGATCATTTTGGGCTGGCTACAGCACTCGGACGGACGGTGGGTGCATAACACAGTCACAACCGGAGGGGTGCTAGAAGCCACTTGCAGTGAGAAACATCAAGCAAGGCAGCAGGGAACGGGAAGGCCAGCACGATACAGAGACGAAGACAACCGGAAACAACCCGAATGTGTGGTTTCCCACAAGAGGGTTACCATTCGCATTCCCGCAAGGCGCACATTGCCTGCTCTCACCTTCCCTTCCCCGCGATCGCAGCTCGAACCAACTTCGTGAACAGGCCAACACGAGAGGACCCCGCGATGGACGCAGTGATCATCCACAATTATGCCATCATAGATCCCCAAGTCATGAAAGAGCACCACGACGACCACGACACGAGACCAGTAGGACAGCCAGGACAGTCAAGAGACACAATACCGTGAGCACTCACAGCTACGTGCAGGCGCAAAGAACCCTCAGTCCTCGACATCATCCCAGCAAGCAATCAGCAATCAGTTCCCTCTGAACGTGTAGCAGCACTGCTGGAGTATGTGCAGCTTGCTGGCTCATATGGATCATGGAACTAATGGTATGGGACCATCAGGAAACCAGATGTGGCCAAACAGTTGTCCCCCAAATACTGGCCGGACTCACGACCACGACGATAAGGCTGAAGAGATTCGAAACCGCGTCCCAAATGAGTCACCCGAATACTTGCCGGTTCAGGACCACGGTCCACATACTTTCTCCCAAGTACTGGCGGGATTCAGGAGGAACACCGCTCCAATGCAAAGCCCCCGAGGCCAAAAGAAATGTCGGCGCGTCAGAATTTACAGCAAATCCAGATCTCCGGAGCACGGCCTCTGCAAATTTTGCACCGCCACCATCGCCAAGAGCCTTCGAAAGGCCAGGAAGGCCCTTTGCCCCATGCTGCTGATTCGCCACAGCTTGCACCCAAGTACTGGCGGGATTCAACTCCAAAATCATTTCCCCCAAAGACTGCCGCGATTCCAGGTTTTGGAGACCAAATAATGGTCCACATTGGTCCACGTATGAGAATTTACAAGAAGTCCGGCCCTCATAGTGTGTACCGCACTGCTTGGGGAACTAAACTCCCTTCTCACCACATCCGTTTCCTCCCAACCGCCTCCTGACACCTCCTAGAGCCACTAAGAGATGCTCGAACCCGAGCGTCGCAAGCTCTGCAATGAAGGACGATGAATCGAAACTTAGCCCAGACAACGCTCGGAAAAAAGAAGCGTGGCCAGAGGAAAATGCGTTCGGCCATGGCAGGCTCCAGCCCCCTGCCAGGGCTGGCTAGGCAGTGAAATATGGAGAACGATCGCGAAAGCAAGCAGGAACATCGACAAGCAGCAACTTCAGTAGAATGACTCTTCAGAAGATATGGCATTCTTGGCCGGCGGCTTGGTCTCCATACCGACCTTTGAACCTTTACATGCTCCGAAAACACTTTGATTGCGATCAACACCAAACAACCGTGCGTGCCTGTAGACTCCCAGATCTCGCAGAACACATGCGACCTAAGTCACGTTGGAAGAATATGATGTAACGTGCTTCTGCAGCTGCAGCTGACACTGAATTGAATTGCAGCGGAGCCTGCTAAGAGGTCTTGAGAATGAGAGACCGGTTTGCGCTCTGGATTCGCTTTCACAGCGGCGGGTTCGTGCACGTGCCGAACACCGGGGGATGGCATACGTACAGTCGGGTCCCTACGCCAGACACTTCGCCCATGGACAGACCACAGCCCTGCCGCCTAGAAAGAAACTTCCGCCCTCCAGGCCTCAAACCCTAAACAACCTAGCAACCGCAAACCCTTAAACACCTCGACGCCTACGCCGCGAATCCCAAAAGCTCTACGGTACTGGAAATATAAGCATGAACCTCTGCAACCAACCTTAGAACTCAAAACACACCCTAGAACCTCAAACCTGCCGAAAAATGTGCTGTTCATGGACTTTTGTACGACTTGTGTGCTTGGGTCCCCAGTGAGGGGAGCTCGAATCGCAATGCTTGATTCTCGGCCAGCCGGATGCTCGAATCCGGCTTTCACACGTAAACATCACACTCATCAGTCGAAGCCGCAGACCAGATGTAAGCATGAGACGTCCCCAAACCCACACACCGCAGGGATGCGAAAGCGCGACACTGGTAGACTTGATCGAATGGCACGGAGGTTCCCAGATGCAAGCGTAAAAAGCGCAAAAAAAGATGAGCAAGGTGTTCAGAAGCAGGCGAAGCGACTGCTAAATCGATGTGACCAGGGCCTCAGCGTCAGACTCAGCGTCAGACTCTTCCGGACGGAAACATGTACACATCGGCGAAAGACTCAGCTCAGGTCGCACTCTGCGGCGTGGTCGTCTCCTCTGTGGGCCTGCTCGCAAACATCACAGACAACGCAACGGCGTCTACGACTAAACACTGTTCATACTCTTTGCTCGAACCCAGACCTGCCTTTGATGCCACCTCGCCTTGGGCAGAATACTTTGATGACCACGAGGCGAATTGCTCAAACTGAGTCGGACACGTGAGATCTCAGTCTTACAACAATGTAGTATACAGTTTAATATATTTTTTCACCTGCCGCGGCTCTTTATGCGAACATCGGCGCTACGGAAAAGCAGACCATCAGCCAATGTAATGTCCAGCATTTGGGCCTTTGACCTTTTTCGGTGGTGCAGAAACTGCCTGTGACTCTCAGACTCTCGGCCACGGCCATGGCCGCGCCTGCTCCAACCTTTTACCGTCATCGCTCAGATGCATGCTTTCAAGTGGGTTTGGGTGGACGACTGCGAAGTGGCTGCACCGGGTGCCCAGTTGTAACAGACCAACGTATCAGCGCTGCAACGTCATGTCACGTCCATGGCGTGTGTGAAGACCACTGCTGCCACGACGACATCGATCGGAAGGAGGAAGACATCCCCGCTCCGAGCATGGACCACGCATGACCACGGAATGAGCATCTTGAGGGACCTCTTTTTCATTTGTAAATCGCATCCATTTAAGTTGGGCTACCACTGCATTCGTTCGGCTCACTTTTCCTTTCGCAAAGCCTCGCTACGGGCCTGTCTGTAGAACCTGTGTACCCACAGGAAGTGCTTTGGTAACACATTCGGTGCGGCATTCACCGTGCATAATACGTTGTCGATGGTTTTGTTCGAAGTGACCTCGCCGGCGTCTTCCTTTCGGTCTCGTAAAGGGGTGTGGTTCATCGACAATGTGGCGGCATTCATGGCCCTCATCCCAGGACGACCGGACTCCCCTGACCTCGAGCGATTGGTTCACATCATTCATGTCCCCTTGTTTTCCCTTCAGACCTCGGTCTACTTGGAGTGGATCCCGACTAAGTCCAACTGGTCGGATTCCACTAGCCGCTTAGGGGACGCTGATCCCTGGTCCGCGCCCAATGCTGCGTCTTTTCCGGTTGGGGTGTGGTCCCTCCCGTTGGTGCCCGCTATGCTGGTGTTCCAGTATCTGTAGTGATGCTTTGGGACTTAGTGCTTTGGGGATTCGAACCGAGGTAGGTTCGTGGCAGTACCTGGACTACACGCACCACCTCAAACGATGTGCGAATGGAGGGGGTCAACTCCCGCTCCTGTTCGCGTTGCCCGTCCTTCAAAGGATTGAGCCCTCCTGTCCCAGTGCGACCGCCATAGACCCCCTGCTCCAAGAAATTTCGCATCCCTCGTCCGAATTTTTGCTATCCTCATGTCTGCCACGTCGCAGAAAGCGGCCGCTCCAGGAACAAGATAGCTCCGATGCATTCGTTCCACGACCTTGCGATAATGCCGCCCGATGGAGCTCCCTCATGTACGGCAGAGTGACACAGCCGGGTGTTGAGCGAGGGCGGCGATCGAAGCCGAACGGGAAGATGACGCGGGTCCTCGTGTCTCAGTGATCGCTGTTGACAGGTACCGGGACAACGTGCGTTTCATTCGGTGTACCAGATGTTCAGCGGATGCACATCATGCCAAAGGAGGCATTCGATGACAATGGAGCCCTTTCTGACCGTTCTCCGACGCTGACGACCCGTCACGCGGCTCTGTACCTTTTCACGGGAGAATAGGACCTCACTGCGCATCGGCGGGCGCCGTCGCACAAGTTGCATTCCTCGCCTGCAGATGCACACAGGGTCCGAGGGAGGCACAGTCAAGTGTCGTTGTTGCACCAATGTGCCGGCTGCTCTGCACACATGTCTCTCGATCTTTGAGCTCTCCGCTCCGAGGCTACATATATGCTGCATATGCTCATTTCAATTTGTCAAGTTTGCCTTGCTCCTCTTAGGATTCGGTCCCAAGACCTCCCCAGTTCATATCCCTTCTCAAGATTGTGGCTCAAGGGCACTCCCGCACCTGAACCGGCCCCGGCCCCAGCTCAAATCAATGTGGATGAAAAATTCTGGAAACTGGCTCAATCAAGGTGTCTGTTCCTCCTGGCTTGCAAGTTTCGCTGCTCAAATCTTGCTCGCAGCTTGGGCGCCCCGTTGCCGAGGTCCTGAAGCAAGGCCGCGCATGTAGGAACAGTTTCGTGTTCACCGAATCGTTCTCGATACAGCTCGGGTCTGGTTTTTGCTGTAAGTTGGGGCACGGATCCGCCTGATGCGGCGCATCTTCGCCGGAACACTGCTATGCGGTCCTTAGCTGCTGGACCCAAGTCAGTCCCGAATCCGCACGCTAAAGGAGCTGCACCAGGCATCGTCAACGCCGCTGCTCGAACGACCAGAGGCTGCTGACAAACTCAGATGTGCGACGCGTATAGCTCAGCGTGTGAGCGCAATCGGGCCAAAGAGGGAAACCATGACCACCACCTTGCCCTGCGGCAACAGCTCGTATTGAATTCTGGGGCGCCTCGGACTATGGCGGCACGAACGACCTCGCTACTTTCCGCTCTCGCGGAGGGCTGCTCAAGTACGCTGTTTCCCGGGATCGGCTCAAACATAGATATTTCGACACTCTCGAGAAGGAAGTCTTTGCTGCTAACAGGGCCAAGGCTATCAAGCAGGCGGCTCTTCGTTTGGAGTCTTTGTATGATTTTTGGCTTCCCTGCGAATTGACGACGCGAAACAGCGAAACACGTCAAACCACAGGATCTGGGACTTCGCTCATAAAGGCCGCTTTGGTGTGGCCTGGCCTGGCAGACCAAGACCGAAAGGAAACATCGGAGAATTAAGTTCAAAGGACGCTAGCTTCTCGGATGCCCCATGGCTTCGATTCGATGTCTTCCAGAAGGATGTCATCCCCGATCGCGACGTTTGTAAGTTTGAACCGAAGAAGTATTCTCACAACATGGCTGTGGATCTTGCCCGGTCGCTCCAGTGGTTTAAGCTGCCCGCCGCCGAAGCTCGTTTCGCACAAAAGGCCGCGCCGGATCCCAAGCTCATCAAGGTCACCCCTAGCTTGACCACGCACTCCTCTTGAGTCACGATGTTGGATGCTGCAGTTCACAGGGGCGTCCCCGAGCAACAGATTGGCCTTCAAGCGCACTGCAAGCACTGGGCCGATGATTTTCAATATGCTCGAAACCGCTCGTCTGTGCTGGCGGTGATGCTGCAGAACCTGGTGGCGATCTGGTGAGACATTTATCTCCAGACACGATAAGATTCTTAATGGCAGGGAAAATGAACTGATTTCGATCGCGGAGTTCTTCCTCAGGGCGAATGCAAGTAGCTCTGTTCGCAAAAAGGCGAAAGATCGCTTGTCATCGTGTTCAGGTTCGGGACTCCGTTCGCTCCTGGTTAGAACTTCTTATTGGCGCACGCGGTCCACGAATTGGGTAGCCTATTCCGGCAGTGGCAGGTGCGCTCTGAGCAGGCTGCTCCCAGGATGCTATGCACCAGATCTTGGCCGTGAGCCGGCTCAAACACCTCGCCGCCGGAGCCGGGTTTTTTTTTGTGCTCCTCGTGGACACAGGAGGGAACTTCGAGCAAGACATCCAACCGGCGACCACCCTGATCGAGCTGGTGAACGAGTACAGTATTCTGATAGTGCGAAAGCAAGTCTACCCAGGCCTTCAGAAGCAAAACAAAACGTTGGCTCATCAGCCTTATGCCAAACTTGCCAGGGCCATTCGCTGAGCTGCAAGCCCACATGTACTCAATGTGTACATTCGAACGCACTTCTGCCAAAGAGTTACCCTCGCAACCCAAACCAACCTACCCGTAGTTAGGAGAACATGGATGATGCCTTGCAAATATCACCGCAGATGAATTCAGGAGGCTCGTTCCACACGTCAGTCGGTAAATTTCAAAGTGTCGAGCTCAAGTCTGTGGAAGCCTGTTTCTCACGGCTAACATCAGCATCTGAATGCATGCAAGTGAGACATCGAAGTTGGGGTCCTGGCTGAAGCTCCTGCCGCAGAGCCTCCAAGGAAGCTTGTTGATGCAGCTCCTGCATGGCGCTACACGCACGTCAAAGCCCTGAAGAGAAAGCAGTGAAGCCTCGACAGAGCTGCCAGAAGATTTGGCATCACCGTTCTCGGTCTCCTGACGAACAACAGACTGAAGCACTGCCTGGAGTGCCAGATGCCGAAGGTTGGGGGTTGAGCGGGAGCAGGCCTCCGCGACGAGCTCGGAGCCGGAACTATCTGGGGGACAGCTCTCAGCTCCGCTCGTAGCTCTTCCGACTCGTTGCCGCAGACTGGCCTTCCTTGTCCACGCCGACGGAACCGAGCCTTCGACATAAAAAGATCAGTGTGCAAAACTGCCAGCGACGAGAGCTGCATGAAGACACACACTGATGAACCGTTCGAAGGAAAACTGCGATACCATAGCTGTTACCGCTGAAAAACTTCAAGCACCGAGACACTGCGGGGGGTTGAACCGCTTCGCTCTGCGAGGCAAGGAAATGCTGACCAGCCAGGGCGGGAGGCCTGGCAAGTGTCTCGATGCTATGCTGTGCTGGAAGGAGGACAACCCCAGCGCTGCTGCTTCCAAGCAGTCGAAAACTGAAAAGTTGAAAGGTGTCCGACCCTCAAAACATTGTATGCACCGCATTAAAGAATGACTCACAATCCCCAACACCGCCAGCACTGCGATTCTGATATTCGCGCTGGGCATGACGATGTACTGCAGCACCTGCTAGGTGGAGGGGTCAATCCGATCAGAATCCGAATTCTCTCTTGAGACTGTGCCTTGTGCTAAGCCTGTTTCTGAGCACAGAACACAGATTGTAATTCAGGTCATCGTCACCTAGTCCTTAAACAGACAGAATAGCTGCAAACATACGAAGGACCCTATCTCAGGAGTCAGCGGTGCTGTGCTGGTACGCTGAATCCAGTGAGGACATGCTTTGGCATCACAGGCCTCACCACTCGAACATGCTAGCAAGGTCTCGGATGAAGCTGGTCTCCGGGCACTAGACCCCGCCGCAGCCTTCGCCTGAGAATCACAGCAAAACTGTGCCCCAAGACTGGGCTCACCTGCAGACTGCTCTGAGTGCCACTCTGCCGTCGAACCACGGCCGATTGGAAGGAAGGCCCTGAATGAGAAAATGTTTTGAACATCTTCGGACTCTGCCCTCTGCCTTCAAGGCTCTGAGGGTCGGGCCGTGGCCTGTCGACCTCCAGCCACTCATCACGAGTCTGCAAGATTCGCTCATGCCATGCAAATGGCCTGCAGAGGAAAAGGCTTGTCAGGAGGCAGGTCTTGTGAACACCGTAGCTGCCGAGCTGAAGACATGCAGCGCGTGACTCCCCCGTCTTGAGACAGACCTGTTCCAGCTCCCACACATGCTTGCCTGCCCCACCTGCGCATCACTCTGCTGCCTCCCGCATCGCGGCTAAAGCTGCTGCTGCTGCCAGCAGCCTGCACATGTGCACGCACTTCATCAAAGCCTTCGGCCAAGGGAACCAAGCTTCCAGCCATGCCGAGCATCCGATCACTGTCCTCGGCCCCTGCCGAGATGCTCCGTGCTAAGCTGCTAACCTATCAAGAAACAGCACATGCACGATTCCGTCCTCGAGGATCCGAGTTGTCGAGAAAGTGATCACCTGCAAGGCTCTGCCAGCTCGGACGGAGTCTGAGCCTCTTGGAGTCACAAGGTCACGAGGCAAGAGCCGATGCCATATGCTCCTCCAGGCAAGGAGATGCCTGCACGACAGGAAGAGGAAGATCTCTCTAACACAATAGCATCCGAACAGGCTCACCGTATGTTGGGACGCCCTCGACCAGGCAGTCCATGACTGAAGCCGTCGCATATGCCTGTCGCCTGGGTGGGCACCACTAAGTTAGGGAGCTAGGCCAATGCGAGGCTTTCGAGGGCCCCGGCCCGGGCAGCGACGCAGAGGGCTCTGCCAGCCGCACTTCCTATAGGGGTCTAGTCTAGGCGCGGCTAGGCTCCCACAGCCCACATCCCATCTTCTTCGAGAGAGAAGGGAACTCGTCGAGCCCCCTTTGCCGCCTGTCGCAAGCCAAAGGCCTCTGGAAACACGGTCAGCTCCTTCAAGGCGAGAAGCATAAAAAAGCCAAGCTCTGACCTTCAGCTTCCTGGTAGAGCTTGCTTGTCTGTCCCATCACGCCGACGCCTTCGGTGCAGCGATGTCGCTCCTTCCACTGCAGACAATTGATGCCAGTGGACAGCAACGCTCCTTTCCCTCTACGTGCCTTCAACAGGTCCCAGTCCAAACCTCTGGGACAGGCTTCCTGAGGCGGGCGGACTGAACTGCCAGCTCCAGTGAGAGGCTGGGCACTCGCAGCGAGACAGCCGAGCTCCGCTGATCTATCGAACATTGTAACATGCCATGAGCTTTCGCTAGGCCACCGGCTTGCCACCGAAACGACTAGCACGTAACCACCGCACGTGTCGTCATGAAATTTGACACTTGAGTTGAGCAAAGGTTTTCCATTGCCATGATGACATGACATGCTGCGGCGCAACGGTTAGGTTTGGTTTTTCGGGTGGGATGCAGTCAACTGTGCATTCCGGATGCCCAGTCAACAATGCATGGGCAGGGCCACCCAAGGCGCCACCAACCTTGGGATGTGTGCGTCGTAGTCAGTCTTTCCTACATCCCATTGCTGGCACTTGCAAGCTTCCGAGCTGTTCGTGTTCACGTCTCGGCCGTCACGCCCGGACTTGCAGCATTCCCATGGCCCATGGGCTTTCATGATGACTAGCGCGTTGGCAAGTACTTGCAAGCAAAAGCAGCAGAAGCTGTCACACGCGGCACTCTTCAACAGAGCTGTCTGATCTCAGCATCGGACAAAGTAGCGATCCAAAGAAATCACCCATATTCTGTGGCCTCGCATTTCGGAACTGTAGCGACCGTAGAAGTGCAGCAAACCCAGGTCGATCAGCTGTGAGCTGCTAGCGATCATCACAAAGCGCAACTGCAAGCCTGCATGAAGATGCTGCCACCGGAACAGCAATGAAGAGTCTGCGCAGCACTGTAAGGAAGTGACAGGTCTCGGGCAACCGCAAGTGTGACAAAGTTGATTTCCTGCAGCAGGTGCCAGCAAGGCGATAGTACAAAGTCGAAACCAGGGTGCAGAGTCTGCATCTTCTTTGACAAGCCCCAGTGATCCCCCTGCACCCCCAAGTGATGGACAATTCCAACAATTCATTGCGAGGCCCTGCAAGGGGGACTCCTCCGGAAGATACTCCCCCAGAAGTATCGCATGGAAAGCCACACCAGACGTGTGCCACATCCTGAGTTCCATGCAAGTGCATGCCCAAGTGTAGCAGAACGGGATCTATTGCGAACAACTGCAGCAGCATTGCAGCGCTTTTTATCGCAACTGGCACGTGGCACCTTTGCGTCAGTTAGTGCGCCTCCTCTTGGGACCTTCGCCCTCAGCGGGCTCAGACAGTCTCTTCGGAGCCCTTAGCAAAGCTTGGACCTCACCGCAACAGAAAGCGACGAACGAGGGCTGTTGTCATCAGGCCTGCGTCGAGCGCATCGGCCCAGTGTCCAGTGTCATCCGAGTGATCCCATCTGCAACCGGATCCACCCCGAACTTCCGCTTTCTCGTTGCAACATGTCCAGAGTTGGCGGCCGGTCTCAGACCGCGCAACTTGCACCGGGTACAGGCGTCACTGCAAGATACAGCTGCAGATGTCGGAAGTCAGACTCATCGATGCCAAACCCTTTCTGAACCTCTGAACCTGCTAGTAGCCCGCTCGGCTTAATCCCACAAACCCCCCCCCTCCGGAAAAAATCAGGGCCAGCAGGGCCTGCGGAGCGCCGCAACGGCCCGAGAGCGCTTGCGACCGCTCGCAAGCGCTCTGGCCGGATTTTCCCTTCCCACCTTGTCAAGGCTGTGCTTCAAGACCAGCTCATGCATCGTTACCAGGTCATCCACATCCTCAAGGCGGCGGGGAATGGACCAGACTCTGCCTTCGGCCTCTCGGCCTCCCTCAGCCGACCGGTCCTGAACGCCTTCCGGCAGGAGCTTGCTGGCCATCAGGGGACCAGAATGCCAAGTAGTGATGCCGCGCCTGCTGGCCTGATGACAACATGCATCCGCACATACCGTCAGAGCAGTTTGAAACATGCCGTGTGAGCAATCTTTGACGCAGTCGGGGATCACGCAGCAAAAATGGAACAGAACTGCCGCCGGTGAAACTGGAAGTCAGCGAAATTGTAGATTGTAGCTTTCAAGATGACATGTATCGTCCGGCACAAGGCCGCACGAACTGTGCCGGACATCTGGCCTCTGTGTTCCAAGCCTGTGAACCCGTTGACAACTGCAGTACCGTCGGCTGCAGCTTCAAACGAGTCCTGCCACTTCAGAAGAAGCTCCCACTGCAGTACAACAAGAAAAGTGTTCGCAAAAGCCAGAACGAGTGCATGATGGTCGCACGGCGACTAGGCGCACAAAAAGGCTGCAGCCCCGACTAGGCAGCAAACCTGTGCGAGGGATTATCGCACCCCAATGTCAGGATATGCCGCTATGCCATCTGACGTTTGATTTGTCGGGTGCAGTTGCAGTCGCGATCCCGTGGCACACAGATGTCGGAATAGCGACAAACAAGGGAGATTACAACATGTCTCCTGTGTGAGGTAAATCGTCTTGTTTACTTGCATACCCCATTCTGGGAGGAGAGGAAAAGCAAACGTGCACTGAGTCCTGTTTCCGGGTGCACCGTCTGGGTAAGGAATCCAAGTTTGTTGAACTTCACAGCATTCCACCACTCGTCTGTGCTTTTTGCTTGGAGTTACCGCTGCAGCTCACAAGCCTTGTCAAGTTTCGGTTTAACTAATCCGGGTGGCGACCGGGACAGTAGGACCTGCGCAGCAAAAACATGGGCGAACGAGTGCTCCTGTTGCGGGAAAGCTTCTCGACCGTGATGTCAGTGTAGCCAAGTACTTGAAGCTTGGCCTTCAGCACACAGAGATGTTCATGAATCACACAACTCTGAAAAACTGACAGGATTAGACTGCGCCTTCGTAAAGTGAATGGGCTGCCAACTGTCCTGGCGTGTGCATCTTCTGCACAAAAAGACAAGTTATGAGCATACCAGCATATCTTATCTTCAATCTACTCTGCGGTTGACCAGAGCACCCCCGGCCTGGATGCCCCACTCGTACACGAGGCCTTGCACCTCTCCCGTGACCACCTTCAGGCAAGCACGGCTTTCGCACTGTGCCCAAACCGGACATGCACAGGGCGGCACGTTGAGAAGGAACAAACATTCTTGAGGTCCTGAAAAGTGTAGGACGGTAAAGGATCAGTTTCTCGAGACTTGGCGATGTTGTTTTGAATTCGTGCCCGAAATCACCTGGTCGTCTGACTAGGAAGAGGGTGCAAATGGCTCATGAGAACCACTAGATATGGCAGGATGTGTTGACAATGGGTTCTGATAACGCAAGCTTGTTTGGCGCATTGTGATGAGGCTCCACGTCCGTACTACTAACAAAACGAGAACAACATACTGAAGACACAATCCATTGCACTCCACTTCCTGTGCGTCCAATGATGCCCCATTATCCGATCGCCAGAGGCTCACATGCCAACTTCAATTAACTAACTGCGAAGGAGCAGGACGCGAGGACAAAAGAAAATTGTTAGAGAGCAAGACACAGGGCGGCCGGAATCCTAGAAAAAACAACTCTGCTTGTCGCGCCTGGACAGTCATCTCAGAATCGAGCGCCTGCCCAAAACCAGCAGATTAGTCCGAGCAGCTCTCGGTCTCTCAGTGCTTCACACTGCCACCCGGCTTCAGTGTGGACGTGGGTAGCTTCCTGAAACAACTTTTCAGCAAAAGGAAGGCGGAATGCCGCTTTGTACAATCGTGCTACCGCCGTGCCTGGACTGTGCCTGAATTCTTCCCTATACAGGTGGCTTGCCGAAACGACAACCCCAAGCGCTCCTTAGCAGCTGGGGCCGAAACAAAACTTGCTCATGCAGCCGTGACCGCTACCATCACTCGAAGTCCTGGTCCAGCATGACAGCCCGACGAACCATGAGCCGCCCGATGCGAGAGATCCAAAGCTCTTTCTCATCTCTTTTCGGAGCTATCAGCAAGAAGGATCTCTCCGCCGACTGAACACAGAAGGAGTTTTCTTTGCCAGTCTGGTCATCAGCTGATCGAACCGTGAAGCATTCTGACAAGCGAATAGATTCGGTCGGACTTCTGTAATCACCCTTTGTCTTGAAACTGCAGAGGTACTGTGGCGTCAGAACGAACCACCTCTGGCGCCATTCCTTCAAGTGCTTCGACTGTTTCACCAGGAAGCCTTCCATGATAATATCATCCTTGTGGATCAGGACATGTGCTGCCATCTTGGGATCCTTCTATGACTATGACCTTCAGACTTGAACTTCACTCCGAGATCTGGAAAAGCTGCAGGACACACGTGATCTGGACTGAGTCACCACCCACTTCCATCAGGATCATCATCAACAGCAACACCAAAATCAACACCATCATCACCATCATCTTCGTTACCATAGTTTGCTTAGGCTTTTATCATGAGCTTTGCCAAGAGCCTTGTAGCCTCGCGATCTACTTTGCCAAAACTTGCCCTAAGAACCACGTCTCGACGATAACAACGAGCTGCCTGTCACATGCCGTGCCAAGCTGAAACGAAAGCAACCACGATCTGCGCACAAGCTCTTCGCGTTGGCCTCCGTCGACCCTGAGCACTGCGTGGACGCTTTCCTGAGCTGCTAGCATGTACTCAGCTGTTACGCTGACCCTTATCTGGCGAAGGCATATGCAGCAAGGGCTCCTGAGGAACTTCGAATCTATTTGACAAGAGCTCCCGGACCCCAGGGAGAGGCTCTCTGCTTGAAGTTTTTGCGAGGCCATTGCTGCAGAGTCAGCGGTGCTGTGTTCTCGGCTTTCGGTTGGAGCTTCGCGCTGGCCAATTAAGGTACCAGGATGATCGTGCATTTGAGCAGTCGTCGGCGAGAGATCGTCGAGTAAACGTGGTGTTGGGTCTTGAGCAGAAAGGAAGGACATGTGCAGATGATGTTGTAGCTGCATGTTGCAGCAGACCAAGTTTCGAAGCAGTTAGGAAACTTGCAAGTCGCATGTCAAGAGATATCAAGCTCCTGGCAGCAAGCGTACTGATGGCTGAGGCGTCACTGCGAAAATCCAGTCGCGACCTTCAGCAACTTTGAATGCATTGATTGTCGGTGGTTTCGTCTGCATGTCACCGGGCCAGGCACAGGTGCGAACATCGGAGAATCGAGTCAATGTCCGCCTGTGACTGACAAGCAGAATGAAAGCTGCAGTGCCAATTCAATACCATCCAGCCTCTGATCTGTATGGGGTGATGGACCTGCCAGCATCTACATATGAATGTCAAACAACAAAGGTCAACCGAAGGTGGCGATGTTCAGGGCGAAACATAAGCGCTGCATGTAGAAACAGTGGGTTGCAAACACACCTGAACACAAGGGCAGGAAGCGAGATTTGCTACTATCTCTCGGACCATATGTCAGCTAGAGTCAGCTTCAACCCGGCCTTTCCATCTGAAACTCAGCACCTCGATACACTCGGGTTTGGAAAAAATCAACACAAACTCAGACAAGGAACCCACGGTGGCAACAGCATCATCGAGGATCAGAACAAGCGTTTGCGCCGTTGCGACACTGATTCGGACCTTGCAATTACACATTCGGGTGGGCTCGCAAAACAAGATGAGGTGCATGTGTGTGAGTGTTTTGCAGAAGCTTGGGGAAGCACATGCAGAGTCTTGCATGTCTTTATGGCCGACTCCTCGCCTTCGTACCTGAAGGTGTGCGAAAATACAAACTGTAACCTGGACTCTCGCCGTCTGAGGCGAAGGCCATTCGGCCGCAGTGTCCACTCCCTTAGCACCTTCACTTTCCAGAGTCCTGCACTGTCCAAGTCGCCTCCCACCGCGCCTGCGTCAAGCGCATCTGCCTCCTGAGCCCGAGCCACCAACAAACGATCAGCGTGCTGGCTTATTTCGTGGTCGAAAACCGACCACAGATGCAGGCAAAGCCATCACCGTACATGCAAAAATATGTGGCACATGCAGACAATGACGCCACAGCCTCAGCCGCCAGAGCCGCTGCAGCTGCTGCGAGGTGTTCACGGCACGCCGGAAGCAACCGTAGGAGCAGAAACTTAGGACACGAAACAAAAGAGGCAAAGAGGATGCACAACAAAGATCTCCACTCCAGGGTCAGGATCCGACCAAGGGTACGGAGTGCTTCCAGACCGTATTCGAGCTGCTCCTCTCTCCGAAAACCTCCTGCTCAAAACGCGTTTGATCGCGTTTGCTTGTGGCCAGCACAAGGCACGTCGCAGGTCCTCCTCCGACCACCTTGGCAGACACGAATGACATGACACTTGTTTCACTGCGCGCGAGACCGAGGATCAGCTTCAGCAGGGGCATACCACGCTCCAGCTCTTCGGGGTCGTGCTCCAGCTGCATGCGTATGTGCAGGATGGCGAAGAGCCACATCTTAAGCTGACGCATGCCATGAGCCCACCTCCACCGTTGATGTGTTGACCTCCGCATCCGCAGTCTCGATGCCCACGAAGCGGCAGCAAGTCAACCTGAGGCGGCTTTGTCAAGATGTTGCACGTTGGCTTTGCCATCTCTGCCAAGCCACGCCGCATTGTCCCGGTGCAAAGCCACCAAGCATGCCACGCCTAGAACTCTTGGCAACACTGTCAGATTCCGTGGGCCGTCGCGATGTCAGTAAAGAAGCTCTGCGGTCCAGGCCGGGATACTCTGACAACGCGTTCTTGGACAAGTCTACCTGCAAACGTTCCACATACGACCGGCTGCAATCAGGACTACACCCAGAACGACATTGTGCAAGAGAACAGTTGAAACAGTTTGGCATGCATCTGGCCTGTGTTTCTGCCGGTATGTGTTGCCAAACACATGTGGAGACCTGTTGCCAAGTCCGCTCAAGCTCACGAGTGCACACTGGTCGTAAATGCCAGTGTGCCTCCTCAGCCACTGGCTTGGACAAACTGAACTCTGGCCGTGTGTTATCGCAAGAGTAGCAGATGCACCTGATGCGGTCATCAGGCGAACGAATTGTAAAAGAAGTGACATGCACTTCCATTCACTGCCTGCCATCTCCGTCGACACGTGAAAGCAAGCAGCGGTCATGGGAGAGAGAAAGCTCCTGTGCTGTGAAATGTGGAGATTCCGAGCACAGGCGGTGTTTAGCAATGCACTGAGCCCACCACCCCACCATCAGGGACAACTTCTTGCTCCAGGCGTCGCACACAAACCAATGTGAAGTTTGTCCTGGCAGACGAACATTTGGAATTCATGTGGCCACCCTCACAGATATGCAACATGCACAATTCGAGATGGCTCGACTGGGGCGCCGGAGGCGATGGGACCGACATGACCAGGCCATGATATGCGCCAACACAACATCTTGCAACGAGCCAGATTCGTGCAGAGGGCTTTCCTGATGGGCAATCAATGCAAAAAGCTTTGCTGTCCTGATCCTGCCCAAACATTACGTAATTACGTCTAGACAAGCAGTTCGGGCTTGCGCTAAGGGTTTTCCTAGTCTCACACATCCATGGCTCTTGATACGGACATGGCAAAGCTCAAGCAAGCGCTCTGCAGACCCGATGCTTCACAAAGCTTTCAAGGACCAGCAAAGCAGTTCTGATCCTTTCGACACAAGCAGCAAAGCATGCCGACATCAGTGCTGCACCAAGCACGCAACAGGCCTGGGTCCGCACCGAAGCTTAAGCTGACGAAGTCTCTTGCCCACTTTGGGGCTTTCGTCATTGCTGCCACTGCTGGGAAGCTCCCCATGAGACCCGCGCTGCCCGCAGGTCAACAAACAACTTCCAAGATCCACTTTGCAGAAGTCCATCTAGTCACTGTGGCGCAGCCTCAGCCAACAGTGCTTCATGTACGCTTGACGTACCGTATCTTTTCATGTGGCATAACAGAGAACACAACATCTCAATGCCGAGCAACTTTTGGAGCTCAGCACGCAAACTTGCCAAATGGGCCTGATGTCATAACAATGTGTGCGACTGCCGCAGAGCCCACAACACAAGCCTCCTGGTGGTGATTCTCCTAGCAGAATCAATGCAAACTGGATGTCCTTTCCACACACCATGGCCGCGGAAACAATCCATCGAAGTTACGCTCCTCCTCCTGGTGCAAGTGCTCCGCTACATGACCTGGCGTCAACACGCTACCACATGCATAGAGCTCAAAACAGGCATGGCCGTCAGTACGTGCTGAGTACGTGCACACCGCAAGGAGTCCCGGAGGTCATCACTCCAGTCCCCGTCACACGAACCGTTGCAGCACACTTTGGGACCGTGCCTGCCAAAACCATGGTGATGGCCAGCAGGTGGAACTGCACAGCAACACAATGTCGGCACCAAATGCGATTAAGATCGTGGAATCGAATCCAGGCTCGCCTTCGGGGTGTTGATGCGATGCAGCATGGTGTGCAGCTTGCTGCTGGAATGGCAGGCCTTCACCACACATTGAGCTGCTCTGCATCTATTTCAAGGTTCTTGGCCTCCAACAGCCACTCAAGGGCATAGCCGAAAAGACCCAAGTACCTGCAAGTGTGATGGACGCTTTCACATGGGAACATGCTGTCCAAACTCGCTTCAATCCGTCCTGAGTCGAATGAGCAATTTCGCAACAACGGCCCAAAGCGCTCCAAGGCCAGTCTTGGCGTGAACCTCTCAAGAGCACACATCAAGGGAGGTGATTTGTGTGACTAGACTTGAAGGACGAAGGTGTGTTCACAGGCCTTGTCGGCAACGATCGCATGCGAATCCTTGCCTGGCTGCTGAGACGCTCAGTCATCCACGACACATTGCGGCAAAAGCACCTTGCCCAGCCATGATGCTGACTCAGGTCTGGTGGCCCTGACTTCACACGCCTGAACCAAGCAATGCAAGAATCTCGCACGGCCAACCCAACATCCTCTTTCTTCGCGCCTAGAAATGTAAACGGATCAGCACTGATGAACCGTTTGAGCCACAAACAATTCGATAGATGCACACACATCGCTACGGCACAACATGTGGATAACATCATGCAAAACAAAAATCACAAATGCGGCGTTGATGTTGCGATGCCGATATGTTGTTCTTGGGCATTGCATCTATGTCGGCAGCCAGCAACAAAGCGGCTGTTTCCACGACCACAACATCGATACTGTCGTAGCTTTCCGTGGCATTCAGTGGATCTGCCAAATGGAAAGATGCTGGTACAAACCGCTCTCGAAGTTTTCAGCGACATGTTGACACATTGAACAGATTAAACATGTGACTGCCACATATTCGGACTGCACACACGGTGATTGCAAGAGGGTGAAACATTACGTGGATCACCATGAAGAGTTGAATAGGAAACATCAAGGGTAGAACGGGCGCAAAAAAGTGATCTACTTGCTTCGATTCGTGCCGTGCAAACGTGGCATGTGGAACATGCCAAACAAGTCCAGAAATTTTCAAGCACAAAGACTTTCACACAAAACTGATACTCAAACTTTCCAGCAAATGTCGACATGCAAGATGGAACGTGTATATTTCTGGACTACACTTCTCTCACACGGAATTTCAAGACTTCCTGCTTACATTGCAGTTGAACTGCACAAGGAAGATGTAACACAGGCAGTCTTGGAAAAAGTTTTCATCCAGAATAGGTTTTTGGAATGTTGCGCGGAACATAAAACTCCGCAACTCAGATTGAACTCTGGGTCGTCAAATCACCTCCTCGGCTGTGTCTCTGCAAAAGCTTGCCGACAATAAAGATTTGCAATGACCAGTCCACACGAAACCGCTCTATGGGAGGTTGCAAAGCAGTAAAGAAAGAAAAACAAAGAAAAACTGTTTTCAATAAGTTCTTCTTCTCAGAGGACTTGAAAAGGAACTTGAAGTTCTCTTCAAGACTTCTAAAGCCGCAAACAAATGAACATAAACGTAAGCTCCTTACAAGCAAGACGGAAAATGGAAAACGCTTTTAGTGAGAACAAAATGCACCAGGAATCGTGAAGGATGCGTTACAATCTTCGTTGGGCACCCTGCGTATCTTGAGCACAGCAAAAACGATTGCACATCCAATGATGACAAATCAGTGGTCTTGACGAAACACCAGAAGCGAGTCCAAAGGTTTTTAAGAGATGGAGGTTCCCTCTTCAAGTCGAAGAAAACGGAAAAGTCGCTAGAGTTCTCTCACACAGTCGGCAAGTGTAAAAATGCTGAGAGGAACAGGACAAAAGGGCAGACAAGGCCATCCAAACCACATCGAGAGTTGCAGCCCTCCCCTTGAGTGAAAGAGATCGAGCTTCCACATTCACTCCAACATTTCCAGAGGGTTTATGGTACTGAAATACAACCTCCGTCAAAGCATCAGTTTCGACGGCTCAGAACTGGGGGCTGGGCCCCAGACCTTCGGGCGAAGGGGGGCTTAAGGGGGGCTTCAAGGGGGGCTTAAGGGGGGCTTCAAGGGGGGGCTTAAGGGTCACCCCCTTAAGGGGGTCTTAAGGGGGGGGGGGGAGGGAGGGGGGGGGGGGGGGGGG